AATACATCGAAAGGAAAAAGGGATTATCATCAAATCACTGAGAGAGAGGATCAACAGAAGATCATTTTTCACAAAAGTTTACTGAAAACTTGTTTTCTGAAGATCCTTTGAAGATCACATCTTGTACAGTGTTTCTGAAGATTATTTTTGATCTACATTGTTAAAAGAGAAGATCACCGTGATTCTACATTCGAGGGGGAGAATGCTAGAAGATCTTTCTCAACAGTTGATCGCTTGAAGATTACAAGTTGAAGATTTCATTTGAAGAAGACATATTGTGCATAAAGTTTCAAAGTTCAAACAAGGACTCAAAGCGCAAAATTTTCTTTCAAGTCTGAATACAAAGGAAGAGAATGTTAGGACTGAGAAATCAGTATTAATTGTATTCGTCTTGAAAGTTTATAAATCGTCTATAATTGTAAAAGTCAGCGTGTTTGACTTTTCTTTAGAGGTTTGACTTTGACTTGTCTTTAGTTTGTTGACCATATAAATAGTGGTTAGTTCTTTGTAATTAGAGTAAGAGGAGCTCATTTGTAATATTTTCATACGTAAAGAGAATTTGACTGAATTGTAAAGTTTGACCTTTTCTCTCATCTTCATATTGTGTTTTTAAGTTCCATATCTAGATCTGCCATTGATGTTGTGATGTTAATGAAGATTGATCAGTAAATTTGGACTCACAACGTTTTACATAATTATTGGAATAAAGTGAAATCTTTGGCACTCAAGATTATTCTTTGAATGTTCATACATTGTTCTTGAGTGTTCATCATTTTATTCATTCAAACACTATAATTTGGTTATTCTTAACTTAATTATTAGTGTTATTGCGAGATCTGAGATCAACACTTTATATTAATCGAACTTGATTTTTATATATCAAACTCAATTAAATCGGCAAGATTACGAATCAACAAAGGTGGGAACACGTTTTATCCACTGTGTGAACACATACGATTCATAACTATGAATCTCCATTCTTGAATTAATCCTGATTGAAGAGAATTACTGGTTAATACCAATAAAATACAATAGATCAATTTTTTTTCTAAAATGTAATTCATTGATTATTTTAAAATTAAAAATAATCCATAATCCAAATCACTTCTTATTTTTTTAACTAACTAATATCCTTGTAATCCTTTGTCAATTTTTCAATTTTTTAGGGTGTTAAAACATCTCGGGTCATATTGTTCAAAAAAGAAATTTTGGGGGATTTTAGCCGGTCGAACAAAACTTTCCCCATTTAAGGAAAATCAACGGGATGACATGTGCCTAGCTCTTTTCAAAACCCTAGCTTCAAGTACTCCAATTCTCCCTCAAAATATTTCTCCCAAAATCTCTGATCCATTTATCATCAGATTATCCAAAACGAAAACTCAAAACACACAAAATTTGATCGCGAATTTGATGGGCACGATCATCAGACTTTCCAAATCAAAAACCCCAATTCCAAGGACATCATTTACTTCTACAACCAGCTCGTCCATCTCCTCAACCAACACGGTAAATGCGTCACATGAATTCAAGATCACCGGATATGAGTCCTCGAAAGGGATGGGTGTTGGAAAGTACATAGCGTCGGAGTCTTTCACTGTCGGCGGACATACGTGGGCGATATATTTCTATCCGGATGGAAAGAGCCCAGAGGACAACTCAACCTACGTTTCTTTGTTTATAGCGCTGGCGAGCGATGCAACTGATGTTAGAGCTTTATTTGAGTTATCGTTGATGGATCAGAGTGGGAAGGGAAGGCATAAAGTTCATACCCATTTTGGGAGGGTGTTGGATGCTGGTCCCTACACACTCAAGTACCGCGGAAGCATGTGGTGAGCTAGCTTCATGTGCTATTATTTATTATATTTCGTTTTTCTATGGCATCGTTCCCACAATCAAGTACCGTGGAAGCATGTGGTGAGCTTAGCAAATTAAAAGTCATGTGTTGGTGAAAGATATGAAGCACTACATCTCTTCCCATTTTCCCGTGAAAATAAGTTACATTTTGACTTCTAATTTCCAACAGCATCAAAGCTATGAAAACTATCGAAGTTAGTGCCAAAGTAAACAATTTTGTTGGGTTAGAAGAGAATGTCGTAACAGACTAACAGGGAGGACCAGAGAAAATATGCAGTAAATAATATGTTTGTCCATAAAAAATGGTTCGTGACGAGGGAGTGTCATTACAGGTAGAAAGAAACCCATTAAATCAAATGTTTCTTCTATTATAGGAGCAGTGATGAATCTGATTTGTCGACCCGATCACGAGTGAATAGAAAATCGAAAACGTACATAGCAGTTTGCGGGGCTTTTGGTCGGTTTTATCTACTAATAATGAATTTTCTTTAGAATTCGGATAGTTGGAACAGTTCCCTATCAATGAAACCCTTCAATGAAGAAGGTACCTGCGCTTCGTGTTTCTCAGTGTTGTCAGCAGGGAATCCAGCTCAGATGTGAGCGAGGGTATCTTCTTTGGTGGATTTTATAGATTTGCCAATCAACATATCACTTATTAACCTGAAACTTGATATGGATTCTCAATTTGTGAAGAAATTGTTTATTACATTAGCCCTGTGTGACAAGTATTGTCAAGAACGTAATGTGTGTCAAGTTGAGCTGACTTAGTTAACATGAGGTTTAGTCGTTGGATCAATGTGTAGTATCATTCTTGGTGCCTATTGGTTTAACCTACAAAGCATATTCCTGGGAAGGCCACTTGATGTAATAGAATCATAGACTTTCCCACAACATTGAGAGCAGGGCTTACAAACTGACACTGAGATGGAAGCAGGCTGACAAGCGGTGACAACCCTACCTAGGTTTACCAACAACGACGTTCGAGAGCAGGGGTTACAAATCTACATCGAGATGTAAGCAGAGTGACCGCAAGAATAGTACGTGTGAAAAGTCAGCTTTGATACCATTTAACAGGATGAATTTTTAATTCTGAGATGTATATGAGTATATCATTAATTATTAGAATCTCCCTATTTATATACCTAGGTTACAAGATTCCTCATCAATAATAAGTTAATAACTCTCCAATAATAGGGATTAACGTTATTTAGCTAATTTGGATCAACATTATCAAGCTAATCTGATATACATACACAAAGCTGACAGTTCTACTCTTATTATAATTGCTCATATGCCAACACATAAAAATCTTATCTTTAACTTGTTGGTAGTCTTTCACTATGAATAATTTGTCGGCTTTTTGATTATTTCATCTGTATCACTATTTGATTGCTTTCTTCCAAGCAGCAGTGTCATGTTAATGGCATCAGAATCTGATTGTTTGTAGTGGATGGCTGTGGTCTGTCTAGGAAATAATTGCCACTACTATAATTACTTAGGAAATTATACTCAGAGTAGTGGATAGCTGTGGTCTGTCTAGATCATGATTCATGATACATGAATAACCTGCTCATTATAGAGTTGGTACGTATACAGTTTCATATGATAATGTTTATGCATCTTGAACTACTAGCAATCCTGTTCAACTAGGATACCCTTGACACATTTTTAATTTTATTTGTATAATGAAGTAGGCGTTCTTTAATTAGCTTCACCTACCTAAATTGGAGCGATCCCATGTCAGGCTGTTGTTCTCTTCTTCTGTCAAAGGTAAAGAGCAAGACATCGATTTCTAACTGGAGAATCTACTTGATGCCACAGGGGTTACAAGCGTTTTCTAAGAAGAACTGTTTTGGAAACATCAGATTATCTCAAGGATGATTGTCTTTTGGTTAAGTGCACCGTTGGTGTTGTTAAATCATGTACAGAGGGACCTCAGATTTTCAGTATATGTTCACCACCATCTGATATCTGTCAGCATTTCGGACATCTCTTGGAAAGTGGAGAGCTGACAGATGTAAACCTCGAAGTTGATGGGGAAGTGTTTCGGGCACACAAGTTAGTACTTGCTGCACGTTCTCCTGTGTTCAAAGCACAACTGTTTGGTCCAATGAAGGATAACAACACAGAGTGTATTAATATACAAGAAATAAAAGCTCCAGTTTTTAAGGTTTACCTTCTTGTTCAAATTCTACCTTACTTTATGTGGCTTTATATTTGTTGCTAGCATGCAGTACGTTCCATATTCTACTTGTGTTTTATATATTATAGCTTTCTTCTTCCCTCCACTTTTTGTAGGCAATAACATTATTAAATTTGAACTATGTACTTCATTTATCATGCTTTGATGGGACTGAAATTTTAGTCAACTCTTTCTAGTGGCCAAATTTTATAAATCGAGTTGTGTGCGGTTTTTACAATTTAAAGAACATTGGCTTCAAACAGTGCCAAAGATTTGTGTAAGATTACTATTCTTTCTCCAACATGTGTCTCCAAATTTTATTGTAGATTTTTGCCCCTCAATCTTTAAATGAAAGAGAAAACATTTTGATTGTGAGGTTAAAAGGGCAAATTCAAGTATTATATGGATTTGGTTGTACATTTTAGAACCGACAATTTGTAATTGTATCATTTTTTCTAATAGATTTCAATATGACCATGAAATGGTTCTGAAATAACTGCTAAAAGTATTTTAGGCATCTGAATAATTTCGAAGTTTGAATTCTGACTGTATTGTCAAATCTAGTTTTTCTTTCATTGGCCAAATGGAGTTTCTAATGCATTCTTAGCAGTAGAGTTGGACTACAAAAGCGAGTTTTAGGCCATTGTATGTTTAAACATTTCATCTTTGCAGTCTTTAATTGACGTTTCTTGCCTTATCTACATAGATAGTTGTACGTTCATAAATTTCACTACTTTAATATTACTTAAACACAACATGGATGGATGTGAATTTGTTATATCTCATTTCCTTTTTCTTTCTCGAAGGAGGATAATGCAAAATTTATTCTTATGTGTTATTAACAACTAATTTGCTGGAATTTTATTGAGCTTGCCTTTCTCCAAAATCTATTTATTTATTTTGGATTACGATATTGATGGACCAAGGTTTTAAAGTACGGAATTGTGAGGCGAGGCGTTGTCCTCCGGCGAGGCAAAGGTGGTCCGAGACGGGAAATAAAAATAAGTAAAAGTATTTATATATATATATATATATATATAATAATAATAATATTTATAATCATAATAATGTTAATAAAATCTCAAAAATATATTAATACATCTAATTCGGAATAGAGGATTTTATTTTTATTTATTATTAGCAACAAATTAAAGTAACACATGTCAAGTTAACAAAGAAAGGTTCAATTTAAAATTTGAATACAACAGATACAAGTTCCGAGAGGAGCATGTACAAGCTTCAGAAGCAGCACTTATAGCATATAAGTGGGAATGCAACACTTAAAATATAAGGATCCATACTTTTTGACTTGAAATATGAGCATGACTGAGGAATATAATTTTGAAGAGTGGAGCCGTATTTTTTGACTTGAGAATATGTCTTAGGGGTAGAGATTGTAGGGTTTCAACTTTTCATGTAATAAAGGTGCAACTCAAAATAGAGGCATATGCCTCACTATTGCTCACCGCCTCACCGTATCTGCCTTACTCCGTTGAGGCGTCCTTCCCAAGAATGCCATGGGAGCCTCAAGGCGTAAGCCTCTTCCGCTTTTTACAACCGTGGATGGAGCTGATAACTGATACCACTGCCTAACCTCTAATACTTTTGTAACATTATATGTTTTGTATTGCTTAACCTTCTTGTTAATTCTTTATTCTTTGTGCTCACCCAATCTTGGCAAGCACTTACCTCCTTGGTTGCTGACGAGCACCCATATCTGAGTGGGAAGATTGTATAAACATTACCATGTCTTTGTCCAAATTTTAGACATCCACGCATTTGGGACGATCACAAAATGCTTTATAATTTGGAGGTGTAATGATGAATCAGAGAGATATGTGGCTGTTTCTTTGTGTTTTTGTGAAAATAGAAACTACTTGCGGGAGGACACGTGGATAAATGGAACTTAAAGATCCAATATGCACGTTGAAATTTTGATTGGTCCATGTTAGCTCTATCACATGTGCATTTTTAAAATGGTCGATTCCCTGCCAAGTATAAATACAAGTGAAGAATTCGTCTCTAATCTACAAGTGATGCTTACTGATAGGTGTGGCTTTAATTGAAATAGTTAGTTTTGTTTTTTCTGCTTGCATGTATTGACTATTACCTATAAATAGGTTGGGTTATCCTCATTTGAAAGAATAATCCCAATTTCGTAAATAAGATTCCATCAATTTCCCGGTTCTTCCAAAACTCTCTCTACATCGCTTTCTCTAATTTCTTGACAAACTAGTATCAGAGTGTTAGGGTTTCTTCCAATCGCTAATCGCTAAACTCCTTAGTCGCTTTTTCTGGAATCGTTTTTGCTAATTGTTTTTCTGTGGGCAATCGATTGAGTCAATTTGGTGTCCGATTCAAGGTGGAGCTTCTCGATTATGAAATCGATGGTGTAAATTGACGGATTCAGCAGTCAATTTAAGGAAAACGACAACAAGAGTCAAATCTCTATAATTCATCGGTCTAAATTGATTCTTCTACAATCAATTTCGTTGTTGAGCATTCAATTGACTTGTGTCCACCAATCAAACTTGATGTTTTGATTTCTTGAATGGTCGATTTCTGGGGATCAATTTTTGAATACCCATTTTGGACAACCAATTTAGAAATTACCGACTCAATTGAAGATTAGTTTGGATATTTGTTCTTGATTTCTCAGCATTGAATCTTGTACCATAGTTCTTTTTCAAGATTTCAGAAAATGCCTTCACAAATGATCAAGATAGACAAGTTTACTAGAAATAACAACTTCAGCTTATGGAGAATTAAGATGAGAGCTCTCCTAAAACAAGAAGGTATCTGGTTTCCCTTGGCTGGTGAAAGGCCTGAAGATATGGCCGAATCTGAGTTTGCACAACAAGATGAGAAGGCTCACTCTACCATATTGTTGTCTTTGGCAGATGAGGTGATTTATGAAGTTGTCGGTGAGGAGACTGGTGGGTCTTTATGGCTGAAAGTAGAGAGTCTCTACATGACCAAGTCTTTAACGAACAAGTTGTTAAAGCAAAGGTTATTCTCATTACGAATGAAGGAGGGAATGCCTTTGAAGGAACATCTTGACGAGTTAAACTCCATTCTTATGGATTTGAAGAATGTTGAAGTCAAGATTGAAGATGAGGATGCCACCCTCATCTTATTGGTTTCATTGCCCACTTCATATGAAAATTTTGTCAACTTGTTCGTTGTTGGTAGGGACACAATTACTACGGAAGAAGTTCGTTCAAGTTTGCACCCACGAGAGTTACGCCATAAAGCTTCAGGAAGTAGTTCCGAAAGCCAATCAGTAGGCTTGTCGGTGGTAAACGGAGATAGAGACAAATGTAGAGATAAAGGCCGAGAGAAAGGAAAAGGGAAGAGGAAAAGTAGAGGCCGATCAAGATCGAAGACTAGAGGTCCAAGTGGAAACCCAAGGGATGGCTGCCACTATTGTGAAGAACTGGGTCATTGGAAAAATGAGTGTCCAAAACTGAAGACAAAATGATCCACTGCTGTAGCAAAAGATGATTCGGGTTCGGAGGCTGATTTGGTGCTCACGGTGGTTGACTGCAAAAGTCAGTCAGGGGTATGGATTATTGATTCCGCATGTTCATTTTACATGACACCACATATGGATTGGTTCAACACTTATGATAAGATTGCAATCGGAAATGTCTTGATGGGAAATGACATGTCGTGCAATGTTGTTGGAATTGGATCGGTGAGCATTAAATTGCATGATGGGACAGTGAGAACTCTAACAGATGTTTGTCATGTACCCGGGTTGAACAAAAACTTAATCTCTTTCGGAGTGTTCGACTCAAAAGGCTTCAAGTACACCGGTGAGGGTGGAGTAATTCGGGTCACTGAGGGTGCATTAGTAGTGATGAAAGGAGTCAAGAGAGGTACCTTGTATGTGCTTGAAGGTAGCACGGTTGTCGGATCAGCAACTACAACCCTTAATCCTGTAGAGAATGAGTCAGATTTGACACGTCTGTGGTACATGAGGCTAGGGCATGTTAGTGAGAAAGGCATGGTAATTCTCAGCATGAGAGGACTTCTTGGAGGTCATAGAGTTGCTGAATTGGACTTTTGTGAGCATTGCATCTTTGGAAAACAAAGGAGAGTGAGTTTTTCAAAAGCTATTCATACAACCAAGTCGACTTTAGATTACCTTCACGCTGATTGTTGGGGTCCCTAGCAAGTTTCTTCACTTGGTGGTGGTCGTTACTTCCTCTCAATTATTGACAACTACTCTAGGATGACTTGGGTATTTGTCGTGAAGCATAAGAGTGAGTCATTTTAGAAGTTCAAAGATTGGAAAGTTATCGTTGAAAATCAAGTTGGGAAGAAGATAAAGCGGCTGCGAATGGTCAACGGATTGGAGTTCTGTTCATGTGAGTTTGATCGGTTTTGTAAAGATGAAGGAATTGCAAGGCACCGAACGGTTAGGCACATTCCACAACAGAATGGAGTAGCCGAAAGGATGGATAAAACATTGCTGGAAAGAGAGGGATGTGTGCTGTCATATGCAGGGTTGACTAGAAGTTTTTGGACAGAAGCTTTAAATACGGTTTGCTACTTGGTGAATAGATCCCCGCCAACAGCAATTGATTGTAAAACTCCTATTGAGGTGTGGTCCGGTAAGCCGGTCGATTACACGGGCTTAAGAATATTTGGTTGTCCTTCATACTACCATGTTAGTGAAGGAAAATTGGAACCAAGATCAAAGAAGGGGCTATTTATGGGATACAGAATTGGAGTAAAGGGTTACATAGTTTGGTCTTTTGATAAAAGAAAGGTGATTCTCAGCCGTGACGTAGTGTTTGTTGAGGAGAATATGTTACGTGGCGTGAGGTATTCATCTACTCCAAGTGTTCAAGAGGAGAGTGTGTTCGAACAAGCAATTGATTGTAAAACTTCTATTGAGGTGTGGTCTGGTAAGCCGGTCGATTACACGGGCTTAGGAATATTTGGTTGTCCTTCATACTACCATGTTAGTGAAGGAAAAT